CTGCTCCCCCCAGGCCATCACTCCCTCCTGCCTAGAGAGCTACCCCACAGCCATGTTGGTCTCCTCTACTCCGCTCTGCCCCCTCCAATCCAGGGTGTCTTTTAAATACATAAATCAGACCATGCTACTCCCTACTTACTCAAGGGCCTTCCGTTCTCCCCTCACTCACCACTTCCAGCCACCTGGCCTGTCCCAGAGCTGCTCCTTCTCATTTCTCAGGTCTCAGCATAAACCCACTTCCTCCAGAAGCCTTCCCTGACCGCTATTCTAGCTCAGTGTGGACAATGAAAGAAGACTGCCAAGCCTTTGACAGAGGGCTTTATCTCCCCTCCCCTGAAGCTGAGCTTTGACCAATAGAATTGGAAGGTGGGGGCAGAGGTGACACTATGCGAGCTCCAGGCCTAGCATTGGAGGACTGAGGCTGCCATTTGCTGTCTCGCAGCCCTGAGCTACCATGCCCAAGGTCTGACACTGGATGGAGACAGAGGCCCTGACACTACATGGAGAGGGAGGCAGCCCAGCAGAGCCTAGCCTTCCAGCCATCCCCACCAAAGCACTGGGTATGTGAGTAAAGCCATCTTGGACCCTCCAGTCCAGACCAGACCAGCCACCAGCTGAATATCACTGAGTGATCCCAGGCAATGCCACATAAGGCAAAAAATCGCCCAGCTGAGCCCTGTCCAAATTCCTGAGCCATTAAATCATGAGATACATTAAAAGTAGGGGCACTGCTGCTATGCAGAATAGATAACCAGAACATTTCACATTATATTTATTTCCATCACAGTAATCATTTGATTACAGCTTGTCTTTCTTTTATTTACTTTTTAATTTTTTCTCCTTCATCCCTCTCCTTACTAGATGGTAAATTCCACCATGGTAGGAACCAAGTCTATCTTGTTCATCACTGTAAACCCAGGGTCTGGCATTTGGTAGGCACTCTACAAATATTGGTTGAATAAGCAAACAAATGAGTACCTCAGAGTATTACAGGCACACAGAAGAAGGCACCAGGTCAGAATCCAGGCAGCTTTCCAGAGGACGTGACACCTAATTGCTGAGGGCTAAGGGAAAGCAGGAGGTGGTGTTCAAAGAGTACAGCCACAGGGAGTTGGGGACTGCCCCAACCACACCAAATACCAGGCACTGATCCCCACCACCCCCCCATGTTCTTGTCTCTCAAAATCTGAGAGCAAGGACCTTGTTTCATTTATCTTTATATCTTCAGCACTGAGTCCAGTCCAGGAAAATAAGAGGTCCTCAATACACACATTTCAAATAAATGAAGGACCACACGGCTTCTTTGAGAGAGAAACACAAGCTGGAAGTTGGGAGCCCTGGATTTTGTAGCTCAATATCTCACTGTGTGTTCTTTGTAAAATGAGCCACTCAGCTCTTCTGGAGCTTGGTTTGCTTGAGAAAAAACAATCGGCTCCCTCTCACTTCCCTGGGTTATCATCAAAATTATAAGAGAGCCAAGATGTCACAGTGCTTTGGAAAAGGTTTGTTAGAATAGAAATACATGATGTTAGAAAAGAAACACGGGATAATATTGTTCTCTAAATATTCAACCTGCCCCAGGGAAACCCCCAGAGCCATTCTGATCCTTTCTTTGAATCACATGCCACATAAGACTCAGCCCAGGTGAGTCCAGCCCTAAACACAGCACCTCCTGGGCAGCTGCAAATTTTATAGTTGCCCAGGTGAACAGGGAACAACTGGGGCCTCAGCAAGACATGGCCCACAGAGCCAAGCAGGAGTGCTGGACTTAGAGTCTAGGGACCTGAGTTCCCAACCCAGTTCTGCCCCTAATTTGCTGTGAGATTTTGGGCATGTCGATTCCCTCCCTGAACCAAATCTCCCAGCCAGAGTGGACTTTTTAGACCAAGTAAATCCTCTCCCTTCTCTTCCTCTTTCCTTCCTTCTTTCCTTCCTCCCTCAAATCAGTCACAGATGCTCCATCTCCACCCAGCACTGGGCCCATTGCAGTCAGAATTAAACCGCAAGACCCAGGTCACCCTCAATGCCTGGGAGGCTGCTTGTCAAGTAAAAGGACGCCCTTAAATGAAGTATCTGTAAAACAGCAGGACAAGGCTTCTTGGGACAGCCAAGATGAAGGATCTGGAGCTCAGCACAGACCCTGTGCTCTGAGCTCCAAAGAAGAGGCAGCCAGGGGTTGGTCGGTACCTTGGGGTCATAGGGTGAGTCCAGCCTGCCCCTAGAGACTCTCCACTTCCAGAGGCCTTGACAGCGCTGCTGTCACATTAGCATTGTGCAGAGGGCTGCTCCGGCTGCACAGGCCTGGGCCAGCACCCTAATTAGACTTTCATCGTGTGTCAGGCAGCCTGCTTGGCCCGACTGCCAGCTGGGACTCCTGTTCCGTCTGGTGACCTTGGTTAATGAACCCATGAGGGGCTGGCCGAGCTCATTATAGGCAATATAAGGGAAGAGGGGACCCCTGGATGTTCCCCCAGGCCACGCCTTTCCCCCCTCCCCAGTGTTGACACTGAGAATAGAAAGGAAGCTGATTCCAAATCAAGAGGAAGGAGACGGGCAGGGAACGAGGCTCCAGCCGTACCACACAGTCCTGTCTACAGCCAGGGGGTGCCCTAGACGTGGATGGGGCCAGTGAGAGCTCAGCCAGAGTCGCGGCTTCTGTGAGTGTGTCCATGTCTGCAGCTTAGGGGAGTGTCCAGATTCTGTGGCTGCTTTCAGGCCCCACCGGGCCCTTTCTTATTCCAGGCAACAGAGACAGAACAACAGTGGAAGGTTCATTTCTGTCTCTTTCCAATCGCTGGTCCATAGACATGTTTGGACGAGTTCCTTTCTCAAAGTTTCACCGTCCTCATCTTTATGGTGGAGTAGTAAATAATACCCACCTGGCACAGAGTAAGTGCTCAGTTAATGCACTCAAGAAATCATCATCATTATTGTTATTATTAAAAGACAGGGGAGAAAAGACACCAAAATGTGGGCACTGGTTGCTTCTGAGTGGTGGGACTAAGAGTGACATTTTTTCTCCTACTTTCCTGTATTTTCTAAGTTGCATGCAATGAGGATTTTACCTTCATTGTTTGAAAAAGGCACAAATTTTCTTCAAAAATAGTTGTATATCAGAAAAATGAGATTATGTGTGTGAAAGGGCCTAGACCATGCCTGGGAGGATGTTGTTAATAGAAGCTTCCTCCCTCAGTGAAAGTTTGAATAGATGAGATTGGGTAGAAAAAGAAGCATGGTATTTGCAAATGTGTAATAAAGTTTTGCTCTTTAATAAAGCAATTTCTTATCCCCAAATACCAAGAGAAAAAGGCAGATGAATAAGTGTCCATGTGCTGTGGCACAGACTAAGGGAGATGTTTGAGGGAGGTTAAAGGAAGAGATCTCCCAGGCCAGCATTGCAAGTGTCCATTGATGGATGAGTGGACAAACCAAACGTGGTCTCTACATACAGTGAAATACCATCCAGCCTTAAAAAGGAAGGAAGTCCTGACACATGCTACAACACGGATAAACCTTGAAGATATTATGCCAAGGGAGATAAGCCACTCACAAAAGGACAGATACTGTGCAATTCCCCTAAACTGAGGTGCCTAGAGTAGATAAACTCATAGAAAGAAAGTGGAGTGGTGGCTGCCAGAGGCCAGGGGGAGGGGAACAGAGAGTTACAGTTTACTGGGGACAGAGTTGCAGTTTGGGAAGATGAAAAAGACAGAGATGGATGGTAGTGATGACTGCTCAATAGTGTGAACGTCCTTAATGCCACTGAACTATACACTGACAAATGGTTAAGATGATAGATTTTATGTTATGTGTATTTTACCACAATTAAAAAACCACATATAGGGCCGGCCCAGTGGCGCACTGCTATAGTGCGCCGCTTGGGAGCGTGGCAGCGCTCCCTCCGAGGGTTCGGATCCCACATACAGACCGGTTCCCGCTCACTGGCTGAGCGAGGTGCGGGCGCAGCACCGAGGGTTGCAATCCTGTTGCCGGTCCCGGTCTGGTACGGGCGTGACACTGAGGGTTGCGATCCGTTGCCGGACACGAAAAAAGACAAAAAAAAAAAAAAAAAAAAAAAACACATATAGAGAAAAAGGGGATGGGACCCTGAGGAGGTGGAAATGGATTATAAAGTGAGTCTCTGGTCTCCTGGAGTTGAGGACTACTCACTGGAGAGATGCCACAAGGGGGGGAGAAAGTCCAAGAAGGACGGCTGAGGGACAGACAGCACTGGCTGGGGTGATCCACAGAGTGGCGCCCTGTGTGGGGCACAGTCCAGCCAGGTCTGCCACCCCCTGCCTGCACTTGACAAGAGCCAGTGTGTCCCAACTGCAGAAGGTTTTGTAGCTGGAGGATTCAGAGCCCCCAAGTCAGTGCCCAAGCAGATGGAGCCTCAGTGCACTCCGAGCTCAGGGTGGGAGAGATGGAGACAGGAGGGTCTGTGCGTCATACCACTGGGTGAGGAAGGCAGGAAAAGAGCTGGGCATCAAGGTCCTCCAGGGCAGCAAGGAAGGGGAATGTTCTGAGCAAAAGTTCCATGGAGAAGAAATTCAAAAGTCATTGTGCTGAAGGAATTGGGATGTGGGCTGGCTGATGCTCAGATAAAAGACACCTCAATAGGGTCAGGATATCCTGAAAGGAGGTAGGGGTGTCACCAGGGCACAAATGGAGTCTAGGTCAGTGCCAAGTGCTTGGGAGGATAATAATAATAACAGCAACAACAATCTACTGAGCACTTACTGTCTATGACAAGCACTTTTCTTGGGTTACTCATTAATTTCCTACAGCAACCTTCTGCAGAAGCGCTGCTTCTACACATCATGCATGAAGAAGACTGAGGTTTGGTGGTATAAGCAGCCTGCAGACCGGACCTAAAGGCACTCCCTCTGCCTCCCTCTGCTTCCAACAGGGCCTGGCCTCCTTTCTGCTTTGCCACCAGCTGTCATCCCCCACCCCTGTCATGGCCTCCCATCTCCCCGCAGCCCTGGCCAAATTCTCACTTGAACTGGTGCTCCCGGGAGCTGCGGATTTTGGAGGAGAACCGCTCGGCCAGCTTCTCTAGGCTGCGGGAGTACTCCAGCTCGATCTCGGCTTTCCGGCGGAAAAACTCCTGCAGGTCTTGAAGCAGCTGCAGCCGTGACTCGGATTGCTGCTCCAGACATTTGAACTGCTCCACCAGCTGGGTGCGGATCTCTGTGGGCAGAGGCAAGCAGCGGGAGCATTAGACAGGTGCTGGGGACAGCAGTGGGACCCATCCAGCTGACCCAGTGCCCAGGCACTGCAATGTAGGCAGCAACCTCCCTTCCCACTCTCCATCCCCACCCTCTCCACCACCCAGAGCCTCTCCAAGCCAGATCAGAGCCAGGATCTGCTTGGCAGAGCACTGGCACAAAGATTTGGCACATGCCAGTTTTTGCCACTTGGTCTAACCCAGTGTTTCCCAACTGGAATCACTGCATGTCATCACCATGATTTTTGCCATATCCATATGCCCCGCATTATTATTTTTTCCATATGATCTGTAAATTGACTCACTTTTCTTGCTGATATGAACTTGCTTAAAATGAAAAGTTTTCTATCACTACAGTAAAGTGGAAAACTAGGACTCTTTGCAGTCTGGCACATAGGAAATAATTCAATGAAAACAAAAATTGTGTAAAATTATATCTAGAGACTACTGCATACCAAAGGACTTAAGCCTAAGCTGCTGGCTCTTCATCAACCAAAGGGAAATGGCAGCATGAGAGGTGCTAGAGAAAGACTTTCTCCAGATTTCGTCAGGACTGAGAGAGGACTGACAAGGGGATGCTCTTGGCTCTTTGGTTTCAGTGTTATTTAAGGCCATGTCTGTGTTCCACTTTGAATTACCTAGAGCTCCACGCATAAGCATCTCAGAAGAATATACCCCACACTTCAGGAAATACTGACTGATTGATCAAACCAGGCCTTTGCATCCAGGACAAAAGTGCAAAAGCTGGGAGTTGGAGTTTAAAAACACAGCCGAATCCCAATAGTCCCAATCTCATCTTCAAGTCCCCATGCACTGATTGATCAAACCAGGCCTTTGCATCCAGGACAAAAGTGCAAAAGCTGGGAGTTGGAGTTAAAAAACACAGCCGAATCCCAATAGTCCCAATCTCATCTTCAAGTCCCCATGCACTGACTCCTTTCTGGCCATCCCATAAGCTGCTCAACTGATCAGTCTCTCCAAAGCACTCTGCTCACACCAGCAACCTGCTCAAAATGCCCCCAGAGGGATCAAATGCCTGCCAGAGGATCAAGTCCAACCCCTCAGCATGGAGTTCAAGGCTCTCCACCGTGCAGTCCCAAACTTTATTTCTCTGGATTTATCCCCCAATGGACTTCAAAGTTTTCAAACCAGTCCTTGAAATGTCAAATCTCACCTACATAAATGTGCGCCCTGTCTGAAACGTTGCCAGTGTTAGTTTAGCATCCTTCAGAGAAGTACTCTTCAAACTGGGGCAGATCTACTCTGGCTTCCTGAAGGTTTCCCGAGGGGTGTGCAGGCAGAAGTGTTACAGGGGAATCAACCCGTGAGCCTTTTAGTTTTTTTTTCAGTAACGACTTTATTAACATATAATTCATATACCATACAATTTACCATTTTTAAAAATAGTATAGAAACGTATTATGATAAACTCTTGAAACTAAAAATGTTCTTAACTATCTGATTTAGAAAATTCAAAATTGTCAGGAGATGCAGAAAAGAGCTAAAGTAAGGAAAAAGACTTAGATCATAATGAGAAATGAGTTTTGAGACTGATTTCAATCTCCCATAACAAAGTCTGTCAAAGAAAATGAATGATAGTTACATATTTAACAAGTTACACAACATATATAAAGATTATTATACCCTGAAAGAATTATGTAATGTTTGATTAAAATATTTACATCAATGGTGCTTCATAGACTGCTTAATAGTCTCTTTTTCTTTTTCCTTTTTTTTTTTTTTTTTT